CTTAGGTTTGTCATCAATAATATACAAAGGTTGTTTTGTATTTTTGTAATAAAACATCTTCAATGAACCTCATTTCTTTTGTCACGCTATGCTGAAATGTGCCCTGTGAAGTGAATACACCAACAACTAACCCCAGGAGGTGATGGATGTCTACATTCTGACTTCTCAGAAAATGTCCACCTTGACAAATGTACCTTGAACATGCTTATCTATGTTCAGCTATATACACTTAATTCTTGTATTAAGTTATCATTGAATGAATGTCTAATCGTGTGTCACAAACAAAAAGCCAATGTGAAGCTTACATCATCCCTAATTACACTATTAGAGACACTATTTAGTTCCTACATGGGAGTATTCTCTTCTTTCTTCAGATTTGAACAAAAATTTAACAGCAGACAAAACGCATGTATAATCTGATGTCAAGAACGTGTTCTATTCATGGTAATACACGTGCTTCACAGCCATTGTATATATGTGAGTGTAAAACTAATAATATACACAGATGTAGGGCACTGGTTCTGCTGACTGGTACTATCATTAGCTTGTGACACCACCCCGCCCACATGCCAATGTGTATACTTGGTGCCCTCTACCGTGACGTGTCTGGCATTATGCTCATAGCAGCATTAAAACAAACTACCTCACTGCTGCCACACTTTACTCTATTTATGTTTTCACGGGATGTCCCAAACACTTACATAGACATAGATGTCTTTTAAACAAACTGATACATTTGTACTGTTTAATTTGCCTAACCTGCACAATGGGTAGCCTGTTAGATTTGCACCAGTCCCTCAGGCCAAAATTATTAGATTTAAATATTAATTTCTAGATCATGTAAAGAGTAAGAACATGTTGACATTGGATTCATCTAGACTTGCCCATTATGAGTATAGAATTACTATACATCCATGGACTTTTCTTTCAGTACAGCCTTGGAGCAAGGCTAGTAGCCTGTATACAATACTTCTCATGCATACCAAAAATGCAAAACTAAACTCCAGTGTATTGATTAAAAAACATTATACTTTATCTGACCCTGACATGAACACCAAGACATAAACACCAATTCCAACTGGGAAGACCTGCAAACAAAACGAAAACGAATTCAATTTATTTTTTTATGGATTTACAAAACTGATATTGATCAATCATCTTGTGTGTGGGTGACACATAACTTTCTCCTCTTTCAAACTACCTGATGGGGAAGGAAAACCACTGACATTTAACCATAATTAATGTAATAAATATGAACATTATTAGCCTGGATTAGAATTTGAAATTTTGAATTTAATGTTATACTGGATATGTTTTTAAGAAAGTTATTGCGTCCATATTTAGCCCATCTAAACACACCACAAGTGAAAACGCTGAAGGAAACAGGGAGTGCATGAGAAGTAGTTGATATGGAACTTGATATATACGTTGCTATACGGGAGTTATGGCATACTGCCAACGAAAAGGAATAATTCCTATTTTAATGCCCAAATCACAGTATTTATTTTGCATGACACAATGGCAAAGTGAAAGGTGATACTGAGAATTAAATTCCTTAAAAAACACAATTGCTTACAAATACACCAACGTTTTACAAACATTTTGAGATATTTCCTCATACTTTTGCATAAAATAATGATAGTTTGCAGATTGATAAAGAAGGAACGTTTCTTCAGGTTAGGTTGTAATGCAAACAATGCAGTCTCACCGCACGCTGTGTGCTGTCACAACTCGGCAGAAGCACGATGCACTTCCGGGTTCAGGTGTGAAGCAGTGCGTACGAAATAAGTGTCACGTGCACATATAAGCCACGCCCACTCATGAATATTGTAGACTTAAGACCATTGTAGGGTTAAGAGCACAACAGGCGTCGTTCATCTCAGTGTCGTCTGTCTGTTCTGTATAAGACGTGTGTTTCGTCGTCGTAGTCCTGAAATCCCATCTAACAACAAACTTTCATATTCCAATATATCGCGTTCAATTTAACACCCGAAACGCAAGGAGTTTTATTTCATTTCAAATACAGCGCTATTTTTCACTGTGCGTTGTTGATAAAAACACAAACACATTGAGGGTTAAGACTTCGTTTCCTGGAATACTCACACCGGTAAGTTTATTGAGTAACTATAACAATTCATACCATCTGCTAGAAAAAGGTACAGTATTATTTATTACACTTGATAAAAAACCTGCCAGATCAAAATACCTGGAAGGTCTAAAGGTTCCAGGTCTTCAGCGTCCTCCTGCAAGTCCCCCTTCACTGCTCTTGTGTCCGTCACACAGTTCCACATGAATGTGGGCCACAACCAGGACCTCTTTCCTCTTTCGTCAGACATACGTAAGGGACCTAAATGGATTACTTAATCAATTATTTTACAAAAACGATAATGTTGTGATTAAGAGCCTATCATCTTCACTTACTGATTTATTAGAATGCAAAAAGCCTAAAGCCATGATTAAAATATGTTTGATCGGAGACATTGTTCTACACATGATATATTCGGTAAACGTGTCTTTCACATTTCGTTTCTTGCGATATTAACGCAAATGCAAAAATGCATACCATTTAATGTGTTCATTATTGTTGTTTTTTCACACAACAAATGTTTTGTTTGGTTGTTTGTTGTTTAACGCACTCAGAACTATTCCAATATGAAGGCGGTATGTAAATAATCGAGTCTGGACCAGACAATCCAGTGACTGACATCATGAGCACCGATTGGGCACAACCAATGTAGATAAATAACGTCTTATATGTAGATTGTACCTACCCGTTCTAGAGGGGCAGCAAAGTTTGGCCGTCTGTAATAGAGCTGATACGGGGTGAATGGTTTGGTAGTCTTGTTCAGCCCGTTGTTCTCATGGGGTTGTAAAACTCTTCTAATGGTAAGCCAGGGTAAGTTAGGATATGACCTGACAATTAACCCGGTATGACTAAATATGAGGTCCGCCCAATGGCGCGTATCATTGTGAAGAAAGGGGTAGCGGGTGGTCCGCGACAAGGAGTACCAGAGGTACCCTGAGACTGTGAAAACGGTGACAGCAAGTTTGCATAGATAACTGCATTTGAGGAGTAAAGTGACAATGAAGGGAATTCATTTGCTGTAAACATAATATACTTTTCTTTTTACTCCGGAGAAGACCCTTGAAGATGCGGGGTAGAAAAGGTCTTCAGGAACCCATGCTTGCCATAAAGAGAGACGATTCATGTCGTAAGAGGCGAATAGCGGGATTTGGATGTCAGGGTCGCTGACTTGTTTGATGCATGTTATCGTATCCAAATTGCGTGGATCGATGCTCATGTTGTCAAACACTGGATTGTATGGTCCAGACTCGATTATTAACAAACAGTTGGCATGTAGCTGGAATATTGCTGAGTGCGGCGTTAAACAACAAACCAACCCCAGAGAGCAATAACGAATAAAGTGTCACGTCATTCATCAAATGATTGTGAAGGTTGAAACCCTAACGTAGTGATAAGTGATTGTTGACTCAATCACATAATCCTTATTTAATCCAATGTGATTGTTTTATGGAGTTTATGCATACTGTAAGCATAATGTTGAGATAACTGGATAATCATAGCAATGCCTGATTATTTTTACGTGCAGATGTCCACCTGTTCCGACTGGTCAGACCAACTACTGGTAAACCAGGATAAGTTGAACCAACTCACAAAACGAGTTTCAGACAAGTAGGCATTGCACAAAATTTGGGCAATTAAACATGCCAAAGCTAGGTAAGCATGGCCAAATCACACATACATGTACGATTAAATCGCTCAACTCTTCCCTGACTCTGTGGGTGATAGCGACGTCCGTGCAATTGTACCGTTTCAAATTCTTTATCAACAGCCTCAAAGTCTCCATTGCGAAACTCTCGTCCATTATCGGACTGTAAAATAAGCGAAGCACCAAAAATATAGATGAAGTGAAGTAAACCCGCAGCTATTTCCTTTGCTGCGATCGTCTTGGTAGCATTCCCGTTATCGAATCTTTAATAGCAGACCACGATGTTGCATACGTAGGTGTGTCCTTTGTTTAGGGGGGCATCTTCTTTAAGTCTATCTGCCAACTTGATTTGGGATAGGTTTTCTTGTTCTCGTAGTTTTGGGGAGTTACACTGCACTATCGCATTGTTCGCACGAAACGTGAACGTCAAATTAGACATTGATTTTCTCTTTGTCTCTCTGACAACTGGGATCATAGAACAATGGACAGATTCGAAAATAGCGGCAGATTTTCGATGATCAATGTTGTAATTTCTCTGGATTAGTTTTGTCTTTCCTATTTGGAACAGCATCGTCGATGCAGGGATTGCATATCGGAACTTTCCTTAAAAACGTTTGTTGTGCCCTTAAACCACCTTCCCCGAAGTTTCGTCATGGAAATAATGTATATACATATACATTGTCAGGGCGGCGTATCAATGTTAAACTGTGGCATGGTAACCTCAGTGCGCCTGCACTATTATATTTGCTTGTTTGCTGCACTGCCGCATATGAGTGCGGGTCGACTTACTGCGTCGCTAAATAAGTGCAATAGTCTTGTAAATACCTACTGAATCAATACACCTCACCTTTACACATACAGTGCATCTTACACATATATCCCGTGAGTATACTCGAAATCTGCACTTCGTGTGCGCATACCCTGATTCAACTTGGAATGCACGGGTGCATCTACACCTACACTCTCTGCAACACACATTTATACAATTGGGAGTTTTTTAAATTATATACAATGTATTATCAGCGTGAAATATAACAACACTAACACAAAATCACTTGAATAGGTTTCAACAAAAGTAACACGACTTGAAACGCGCTAAAAATAATTTGTTGAATGATAAACCCCTCCTTTGAACAAATGTGTCAACGGCGCTTGGTGCGCATTGCAGCGCAAACAATTGTAGCACGTATTGTCCCCGACCAAAGAAATCTTTCTATGCCATTGAGTACATTGAACTGAAATAGATTTCCCAACAGCCTGCACATAAACTGATGTGTATTGCGCATGTATGGTTACTGTGAAGAACAGCTGTATGTGGACTTGCTGTTGTTTCGTGGAAGTCATTCCTTTTCCTGGAATTACGACTTTGGAGCTGAAGCTTGTCATGTGTTATGTGGTATTGATTCAGGATTGGTTGTGACTACGCTGTGAGTGCTAGCTGCGGAGAAGCACCTACCCCATGTAGCGAAGCGAATTACATTGATGCACCTTTTATGCGGTAGACAGGTAAGATATCATGTTGGGGGCACTTGGACATTGTAACATTACCCTTTTGTTCATAAGGTGTTGTTTATGATAAGAAACAAATTGTCCCTTGGACTGGAATCTGTCCTTCAGACATGGCAAGGAACAGCATGTACCATTAACAATTCAAGGTTTTTAAAAATTCAAGATGGTTGAACTAGAATTATCCATAGGTAGAACAAACTGACATATGGGCTCTTGTCTACAACTGCGAAGAGCGATTTTCATGTTTTATTCAAGGATTCCAGTGTCAAGGAATGTGTTCCGATTGTCTTGTAATCAGATAAATAAATCCAAGATGGCATCCAGACTACTGCTGATAATTAGAGGTTATTATCATGAATATATGGCAGTTTTCATATCATACTTTAGACCCTTGAAGATCCGGGGTAGAATAGGTCTTTTGCAAACCATGCTTGCCGTAAGAGGAGGCTAACGTGATTGGGTGGTCAGGCTCGCTGATACATGTCATCGTATCCCAATTGCGTGGATCGATGAGCATGATGGTAATCACTGGATTGTCTGGTCCAGATTTGATTATTTACAGACCACAGTCATTTAGCTGGAATGTTGCTGAGTGCGTTAAACAAAAAACAAACAAAAAAAAGCAACAACAAACAAAAAAACAACAACAAAGATATGGAGTATGACATGAGTTGTTTGTTTGTTTGTTGTTTAACGCAGCACTCAGCAATATTTCAGCTCTATGACGACGGTCTGAAAGTAATCGGGTCTGGAACAGACAATCCAGTGAGTGACATCATGAGCATCGATCCATGCAATTGGGATATGATGACATGCATCAACCAAGTCAGCGAGCCTGACCACCTGATCGACACGCATAGTCGCCTTTTACTGCAAACATGGGTTGCTGAAGACCTATTCTACTCTGGATCCCCATATCAACCCGAGACTCCCATATCAGCCTTGAGGGCCGAAGCTCTAAATAAATATATTGCAAAGTTCAGTAACATCAACACAGATTTCTATCTGGTGGAACTCTATCACATATGGGCATATGTACCATGTCACAGTGAGATATGTACCATGTCACACTGACATATCTACCATGTTACACTGAGATATGTACAATGTCACACTGACATATCTACCATGTCACACTGACATATCTACCATGTTACACTGACATATCTACCATGTCACACTGATATGTACCATGTCACACTGACATATCTACCATGTCACACTGACATATCTACCATGTCACACTGACATGTACCATGTCACACTGACATATCTACCATGTGACACTGACATATCTACCATGTTACACTGACATATCTACCATGTCACAATGCCCCAATCATCCATGCCTCAGGAATTGTAGTATGACTCTATATCATCGCAGGCTCTATATTATAGTGGTATCATAATCTACACACACTTTCGACCATCTTCCTGCGGCAAGGGAGTTAACTGTCTGTAAAAATCCAGTTTCCACCCTTGCCGTACTAGACAGCACTTATTGAGTTATGTTTTGGCTGGACTAACAAGTCCAATCAAAAATCTGTGAAGATCCGAGGTAGAATAGGTCTCCAGCAACCCATGCTTGCCATAAAAGGTGACTATGCTTGTTGTAAGAGGCGACTAACATGACTAACGGGATCGGGTAGTCAGACTCGCTGACAAGGTTGATGCTTATCATCGTATCATGGATCGATGCTCATGATGTTAATCATTGGATTGTCTGGTCCAGACTCGATTTATTTACAGACTGCCGTCATATAGCTGGAATAGTGCTGAGTGTGGCGTTAAACAACAAACAAACAAACAAATCTTATTTACCTGCTTTAATTTCAGATACAAGGAGTGACGTTTTTGATGTAGCACAGTGGTGAGCCATCCAAGGAGGCTAGCCATGAGTCAAGGTAGGTGGGAGTCTAGTCAAAATGTCAGCAGTTTTAGACAGGTTATGTGCCAATCATTTATTGTGAAGTGTATATTTCAAAAAGCATCCTATGTATCAACAGTTAGGTACATTGTTTAGCTGACTCATAGTAAGGGACCCGCTATTTGATATTCTGCTTCAAAACATGCAGTATTTTTCTGTGAAAGGTGGAGTTGATCTATTTAATGTTTTTAGGATACAGTGCATGTCAAGTTCACAATATATTTTGTGTCTGAAATCTATAAAGAAAATTAACCTTTATCTGGACCATCATTTTTTTTATAAATATTGTGTGTGCGTACATTCGTGCATGTAAATACCAGTGAAAACTAAGCTAAATCTTGTGAGTACATTCAGGGCATTGTGCTGAATTTGGAGAAAAAAATTAAAATACTCATTCTTCATACTCATTCATACAATTGCATATTTTGTTGGATGTTGCTATGGCCACAGATGAAGTGATAGTCACATTATATATAGGAAACTGTTCGTGAAAGTTTCACTTTTTCGATGACAGTTGCTAATTTCATAATTTCAATTCGACTTGTCCATTGTTGTAGATATGCATCATTTGAAAAACGCAACATTCCATTTTTTACCAAACATATTTCATATTATGCTGTAATATTGTGCACATATGCAAGTGACATGATAGACCTGGCAGAATCAGACATTCATGATTCCTTCTGCTATCTAAATGGTTTAGTCCAGTCAAGTGAATTCCTACTACAGTGAGCTTTCGATACAATGCCCCTCCATGTACTGACACCTTGGATGCAGTGCAGGGCATCCCTTGCCACCTAGGTCTTCAGCAACCCATGCTTGCCGTAAAAGGCGACTAACCGTATCGGGTGGTCATGCTCGCTGACTTGGTTGGTGCTTGTCATCGATCCCAAATTGCGTGGATCGATGCTCATTATATCAATCACTGGAATTATTTACAGACTGCCATCATATAGCTGTAATATTGCTGAGTGTGGCATTAATTAACAAACAAACAAATCTCATTTCATCATACTTCCCTGTGTTTGAGTTTGATGCATCAGAAGAGCCCATTAGACCCAGTGTATGTTCTGTACAGTGCTACTGACTCTTATCTAGGAATGATAGAATTTTGCTGGTCAGATGTTTTATGTCCTCCAAATTTAGCTCTCCTTCACATCGTATGAGCTTGTGTCTCTGATTATCGTTCGTCAGTCAGTCTGAAAACTAACATTTACTATTGAACCTATCACAGTTCATGTTCTACATATCTTTGGCTACTTAATTAGAAGACATTTCATTTGGAAAAATATGATATGGCTAACAGAGCAGCTATTTTTTTTTAAAATACAGCCTTCACACCAGCCCCTTGTGCTCAGAAGCCATGAGACATATTGTCAGCTAAACTGGTCCTCAGGACCAAAGTGAGCTTATGCCATAACATGACGTCCGTCGGCCGTCCATTGTCCGTCTGTCGTCCATCCATTGTCCGTCCGTCCGTATGTCAACATTTTTTTCAAACGACTTCTTCTTCTGAACCACTAATTGGAAATAAATGAAATTTGAGGTCAAATAGGGGTAATTTGGCTATATTGCTTTAAGCGTCTTCTCTGGAACTAAGAGAAAGATATCAACCATATTTGGTTGGGAGCATTCTCCAGTGGTGAGGTTCAAAATTGTATAAATGGAGGGGCTGACCCCCCAAGGGACTGAGGGGCGGGGCCAAATAGGGGTAATTTGGCTATATTGCTTTAAGCGACTTCTCCTCTGGAACTAAGAGAAAGATATCAACAATATTTGGTTGGGAGCATTCTCCGTTGGTGAGGATTCAAATTTTTGTAAATAGAGGGACTGACCCCTCAAGGGACTGAGGGGCGGGTCCAAATAGTGGTAATCTGGCTATATTGCTTTAAGCGACTTCTCCTCTGGAACTAAGAGATAGATATCAACCTCATTTGGGTGGAAGCATTCTCCGGTGGTGAGGATTCAAATTGGAGAAATGGAGGGTCTGAACCCATAACATACAAACATAGCAATAGCATATGATCCCCACCCTATAATAAACAGATACATTGTATACATTTGTTTGTTATGAAGAGAATAATACATTTATGCCAATAGGATTCGCCCTGGGGTCCAGCCTTGCCGCTGGAAACTTAGATCCTGGATCATAAAATGGAAACGGTTCAGATCTTTATAAATATTATAAGAAGTACATTTTCATGCAGTCTGATTTGCCATCCTCCCCTTTTAAATGCTGACAGAGTCAAAATTACGAAATATTTGCAGTATTATATTACATGTACAATGCCAATGTATATTTTGTCATGATTGCATAAATATCCAGGTGAGCCTATTGGCCTCGTGTTTTAATGTGTTTACAATGTTCCATTATATAAGTCACGAGTTAAAGTTGAGAACATGACCGCAAAAAATAAATAGAGATTATGGTATTTCCATACCATAAATACCATATATTAGCAACCACACAATGTATTATACTAGCCTTTGGGGAGCAAAATACATATTTTTTTATATTATGATATTTATGGTATGGAGGCACATTGGGGTATTATTAATCTCTTTAGCAGTTAATGTGATTCTTAAAATAATTTTGTTTAAGACGTAATTTTGCTCAGTGAATTAACCTTAGAAATCACATATGAATAGAGCGGTGCCAAATGGTTTGCATCCATGTTTGTCTGCAGGAACACCCACACAAGGGGAAACTCCTATCAACACTAACTGGGAATGAACTTAGCCAATAGTTTATTGAGCAAGCAGACATTGCATCTCTGTGTGGAGTTTAAAAGTTGTTACATGGTGACCTCAGTTGCATGTCTATCGAATCGTGCACTGCATGGCGACATATGGATGTGTTCAGCGCCAATATAATATTCCTAATACACTGCATATGTATATAATAATATATGTATACTAGTTCCCATTTGTAACCATTTTAGCCACTTGAATTACGAGAAAAACAAAATAAAAAATGTATATAAAATAAAAGTGCTTTCGTAAACTAGTGCTTGCTATAAAATGCGCCGCTGCAGGCTATATTTAGTAAACAAATATTCAAAACTCTCAACACCGCTGGGCGTATTCAAAGCCCTGGCATGTAGAGATGATAGATCACTGGGAGGAGCTTATGCACACTCGATGACCCGTGATGCCACAGGACATTGTTTCGCCGGTGAGACTTGCCAAAAATACTACAAATTACGTAATAGGGTACTGTCACGTGTTTGAAAGGCTCGTGGTACTGTATTCTAAAGGTAATTATTGTTTGTCAAGTGTTGCACAGTAGTTGGTAATATTGATTGTCAATTACTGTGGCTGTGAAATAATCACCAGCTGTGAATAAATAGCGATAAATATTGCATAATCAACTGCAAGCCATGAGATTTATGACAATCACTAGCATTGTTCATGAGAGGTTATTTTAACCTTTGCATTGATAAGCCTGACTTGTATGTTCGGTGCTGTACAGTTTTGTTGGCCTTAGCAGTAGTTCCCATGACAACAAGCATAATGGCTGGCATGAAAACAAGGGACAACATGTCAACAAAAGACAAATCTGACGAAAATGAAAAGATGAAGATGAAACTGATATGCAAAGATACCTTTGGAGATATATGGCGGACAGATTTTAACTGGCTGTGCTGTGATTAGTGCATACGTTTCATGACAGATTGAGGCTCAGTTGTGCACTTTGTGATAAAAGTATAAAACTTGGCACAGTTGTAAGTAATGACATTCAAAATATTTTTAGATACGGGGCCAGCCCCCTAAAATCCAATATGGCCACCACGATCGAATGAAATTCTAGTATAGGTTACACACAACCAAAAGTTTTCTCATAGGCTTCTATAGTAACGTTATGTTTTGTTTGAACTATCTGAGGCTATTACATGTACATGTGTGCACAGTCTGGCCTTAAAGCAGCAATAAAAACAAAAACAATTGACTAGCTTTGTCAGCTCCTTTTCCAAGTACAGGGCCCCGTTCCACAAAGCGATCTTAGCGCTACGATTGCCGTAAGTCAGTGTTAAAGAATGGGAGTTACGATCGACTTAGCGCTAAGATCACTTTGTGGAACGGGGCCAAGGAAGCTAAACACACCACCCCCAGTTCAACACTAAATGTCACTTGCTTGAAAATATCTCTGGTCACAAGTCATCATGTTACAAAAGACAGCACTAAATATAGAAAAACATGGTCAGTGTTAATTACTGTATGGATGTGCATTTAGAAAATAAAAACTTTACACAAAATCATCCAATCACTGCTGCCAGATGATTCAATCTGCACTGAAGTCTCTACAAAAATGGCTTGTCGAACAACTGATTCTGATTTGGTGTAGTAGAACCTGTATCTCGTATGAATATGATCCACAACCTAAATATATAAAGAAAAAAAGAACATTCTGGAATGTATTTACCCAACACTAGATTTGTTAAGTAAATAACCTTATCATAATAGACTATGTATCTTGATTATAATAGGTAATCTAACGTGTGAAGAAATTTAAAAAATATGCATTTCTTTCTTCTTCAGCATTTCTTTAAGACATGCTTCATCAAGGCCAATTAACTATTCCAATACTTTATTCTCATATGTTGAACACAGTGACAACAACAGAATATTTAAAGAACAAATTTTATATTTATTGAAATATGCTGTAATGGCTAATTGTTTGGTTGGCAAGGGACAATTAAATGTGATCACAGTCGCCACTACATTTGCAAAGTGGCATACTAATCAAAGGCATACTAATCAACACGGATCCTTCCACCTTGCTCTGCATCCTCTCTCCGATTTACAACTGCATCTCAGAAGCTAGCCTTGCTCCAACGCTGTACTGAAAGAAAAGTCTATGAATGCATAGTAATTCCATCCTCCTCAAATAGGCAAGTCTAGATGTGGACAGTACTCCAGTCTCCCATAGGGACAACTTGTTCTTATTATTTACAGAATCTAGAACTTATGATTCAAACTAATAATTATTGCCTTAGAGACTTGTGCAAGTCTACTCAGAAGCCCTTGGGATGACGAAGAAGCTTGTGATAGTGATCATAATGATAGGTCTGCAAATGGAATGGTTGGTGAATTGATTTCAAAAGTTTTTCCAGTCCAATCTGCTTAATTCTTAAGTCATGCAGTTTGTGACGAAGATTAAATCTCGTCATTTATTTATTTTTTGAAGGAAGTACACAACTGACTATTAACAAATCAAAATGTGAAATTTAATTATAAAGCATTTCTATTTGTTTAATGATGATGATATCTACAGGATCATCAGTACTTTCATCCTTATGGCCACAAATACTTACAATCCAATTCATGTCCCATTGGATGCAAAAGAGGTTGGGTGTTGCAATGATTGAAACTATTTAATTAAAAACATGATGATGCTTGATTTATCTAACATTTCTCTTGTGACAAATAGTGTTGGGAATTTGTTGTAAAAACATGACTGATGACTGGAAATAAAGCACAACAGTGTCAATATGTTATTCTAACTTGTATATATTTCAGACTCCGAGTCTGATGATGAAGGGTATATGTGCATGGAGCTGCCCACCCTCATCAAGCAGCTCAGGTCCGTGCTGGACCAGTACCCTGATGATGGGCAGATACTCAAGGTGAGTCCGTGCTGGACCAGTACCCTGATGATGGGCACATACTCAAGGTGAGTCCGTGCTGGACCAGTACCCTGATGATGGGCAGATACTCAAGGTGAGTCTGTGCTGGACAAGTACCCTGATGATGGGCCGATACTCAAGGTGAGTCTTTGCTGGACCAGTACCCCGATGATGGGCCGATACTCAAGGTGAGTCTTTGCTGGACCAGTATCCAGATGATGTACAGATACTCAAGGTGAGTCCGTGCTGGACCAGTACCCCGATGATGGACAGATACTCAAGGTGAGTCTGTGCTGGACCAGTACCCAGATGATGGACAGATACTCAAGGAGAGTCTGTGCTGGACCAGTACCCCGATGATGGACAGATACTCAAGGTGAGTCTGTGCTGGACCGGTACCCCGATGATGGACAGATACTCAAGGTGAGTCTGTGCTGGACCAGTACCCTGATGGTGGACAGATACTCAAGGTGAGTCTGTGCTGGACCAGTACCCCGATGATGGACAGATACTCAAGGTGAGTCTTTGCTGGACCAGTATCCAGATGATGTACAGATACTCAAGGTGAGTCTGTGCTGGACAAGTACCCCGATGATGGACAGATACTCAAGGTGAGTCTTTGCTGGACCAGTATCCAGATGATGTGCAGATACTCAAGGTGAGTCTGTGCTGGACCAGTACCCTGATGATGGACAGATACTCAAGGTGAGTCTGTGCTGGACCAGTACCCTGATGATGGGCAGATACTCAAGGTGAGTCCGTGCTGGACCAGTACCCAGATGATGGGCCGATACTCAAGGTGAGTCTGTGCTGGACCAGTACCCAGATGATGGGCAGATACTCAAGGTGAGTCTGTGCTGGACCAGTACCCTGATGATGGACAGATACTCAAGGTGAGTCCGTGCTGGACCAGTACCCAGATGATGGGCCGATACTCAAGGTGAGTCCGTGCTGGACCAGTACCCTGATGATGGGCAGATGCTGAAGGTGAGTCCGTGCTGGACCAGTACCCCGATGATTGGCAGATACTCAAGGTGAGTCTGTGCTGGACCAGTTCCCTGATGATGGGCAGATACTCAAGGTGAGTCTGTGCTGGACCAGTACCCTGATGATGGACAGATACTCAAGGTGAGTCCGTGCTGGACCAGTACCCAGATGATGGACAGATACTCAAGGTGTGTCTGTGCTGGACCAGTACCCTGATGATGGGCAGATACTCAAGGTGAGTCTGTGGTGGACCAGTACCCTGATGATGGGCAGATACTCAAGGTGAGTCTTTGCTGGACCAGTACCCTGATGATGGGCAGATACTCAAGGTGAGTCTGTGGTGGACCAGTACCCAGATGATGGACAGATACTCAAGGTGAGTCTGTGGTGGACCAGTACCCTGATGATGGGCAGATACTCAAGGTGAGTCTGTGGTGGACCAGTACCCAGATGATGGACAGATGCTCAAGGTGAGTCTGTGCTGGACCAGTACCCTGATGATGGGCAGATACTCAAGGTGAGTCTGTGGTGGACCAGTACCCAGATGATGGACAGATACTCAAGGTGAGTCTGTGCTGGACCAGTACCCAGATGATGGACAGATACTCAAGTTGAGTCTGTGGTGGACCAGTACCCAGATGATGGACAGATGCTCAAGGTGAGTCTGTGGTGGACCAGTACCCAGATGATGGACAGATGCTCAAGTTGAGTCTGTGCTTGACCAGTACCCTCATGATGGGCAGATATTCAAGGTGAGTGAGTGATGAACCAGTACCCCGATAATGGACAGATATTCAATATGAGTTAACAATTTAGGATGACATGTCATCTTCATGTGACTAAAATCAAATCTTGTCAAACCTGAAACTTTAAAACACATTTTTCCTTCAAGATGTCTGTCTCTACAACATCAATATGGAGTGTGACTTTGTTATTTTTACCAGGAGTTGATCCAGAATGCTGAAGATGCCGAGGCCAGTGAGATGAGAATACTGTATGATGTCAGACATATTGACCCTGATTCCAGACTACTGAAGAAGAAGCGTTACCTAGCCTCATTACAGGTGAACTTACTTGACAGAATGTCAGTGCAGTATCAGACTAAATCCATAGGGTAGCTCTTACCAGCTTTTGAGCATACGACAATTGGCCTTTAAAAACCAAATGGATGGAAATTTAACTACAGGATTAGAAGAATAAATGTTTTCGGTTTCAAAAGAAAACATTCCTATTAAATTATACATGGATGTTAAATGAAAAGCTTTAAAATATGACGGATACTAATAATTGCTCTGAAATAGATATTTGGTTCTCATGGTTGAATGACCCCTGACCCTGGACAAACTGCCATCAATGCCTTGTTCACAAGTAATGTACTGAACAATGTTTCAGGCCCAGCCCTGTGTGTACAATGATGCCTTGTTCACAAGTAATGTCCTGAGCTATGTTTCAGGCCCCTCCCTATGTGTGAACAATGATGTCCTTGTACACAAGTAATGTACTGAGCTATGTTTCAGACCCCAGCCCTGTGTGTGTACAATGCTGCCTTGTTCACAAGTAATGTACTGAGCTATGTTTTAGGCCCCAGGCCTGTGTGTGTACAATGCTGCCTTGTTCACAAGTAATGTACTGAGCTATGTTTTAGGCCCCAGGCCTGTGTGTGTACAATGCTGCCTTGTTCACAAGTATTGTACTGAGCTGTGTTTCAGATCCCAGCCCTGTGTGTCTACAATGCTGCCTTGTTCACAAGTAATGTACTGAGCTATGTTTTAGGCCCCAGGCCTGTGTGTGTACAATGCTGCCTTGTTCACAAGTAATGTACTGAGCTATGTTTTAGGCCCCAGGCCTGTGTGTGTACAATGCTGCCTTGTTCACAAGTATTGTACTGAGCTGTGTTTCAGATCCCAGCCCCGTGTGTCTACAATGCTGCCTTGTTCACAAGTAATGTACTGAGCTATGTTTTAGGCCCCAGGCCTGTGTGTGTACAATGATGCCTTGTTCACAAGTAATGTACTAAGATATGTTTCAGGCACCAGCCCTGTGTGTCTACAATGATGCCTTGTTCACAAGTAATGTACTGAGCTATGTTTCAGGCCCCAGCCCTGTGTGTGTACAATGATGCCTTGTTTACAAGTAATGTACTGAGCTATGTTTCAGGCCCAAACCCTGTGTGTGTACAATGATGCCCTGTTCACAAGTAATGTACTGAGCTATGTTTCAGGCCCCAGCCTTGTGTGTGTACAATGATGCCTTGTTCACGGAGAAGGACTGGCGCGGAATCAAAATGCTACATGACAGTGTCAAAGAGGAGGAACCTCTCAAAGTTGGACGGTTTGGGCTTGGATTTAAATCTGTGTTCCATGTCACTGGTAAGACCTTGGTGATTGTTTTCTTTGATCAGATGTTGGAATCAGAAAGATAACATAAACAAATGATAGGATTTAGATTTTGGAAGGTTCTTTGCATGAAATGAGTGTTGATAAGTCATTGGCTTCTTGACAAGTAAATGAACATGAACACTATGTCCTGATTAAACTTGTTCGCTTTCACAAAATTTAATGTTTCCTTTTTAGATTTCAGTTGTCTGTTAGTCGTGCGCAACCTCATTCTTGTCGTCTATTGAAACATAAACACAAACTTATATGGCTGGCCATTCGGTCAAAAAATACTAAGTTGCAAAAAAGCACTAAAGTACGCAATTAAGGTCAAATATGACAAATAAAGAACTAAATGTAACTACTAAAGGTCAAAATACAATATTAATAGTCAAATGTTATGAAAAGACGTCATAACAAGAAAAGAAAGAACAATGTGTACAAAAAAACGTCAGTGATCACGAAAGGACGTTTTCAATGAAGAACATCAGTGAGCACGAAAGGACGTTTTCAATAAAGAACGTCAGTGAGCACGAAAGGACAATGTGTACATTTATTTTTTGACCGAATGGCCGCCCATAAACTTATAGCTTCATTAGCCAATCAAATGCCACAGAATCACTTGTAATATATTTTTGGAGATATTACCACAACTGTTGCGGGTTTACATTTTGGAAGATTCCTTACAGATATTTGAATCTTCAGTTGTTATGTTGTGGAACATTTGACATGCAAGTGATATCACAAACATTATTTCATCATTAAACTTCTTTCTAAAAACTTTTCAGATTTCCCATGTGTCATAAGCGGGGACACTGTGTTGTTCATCAACCCTCAGGAGAAGAATAGTGACCGAGTCTGCTACATGAAGAAACTGAGAGATCTTTCCAATGAAATCAAGAAGATGATCCTTAATGTCTTCAGTGGCATCTTTGACTTCACATCAGACACGGTACACAAGGGCTATTACAGTGGAACCATCTTCTGGTTCCCCCTCAGAACCAACATCTCAAAGCTGTCGGACAACCTTTACACAGAGGAGAAAGTCAAGGATCTTTTCCAAGCGTTTAAGTCTGAGGCGTCCATCACTCTCTTATTTCTGAAGTCAATAGAGAAGATACAATTGTACCAGAGACTGAGCAGAAAGATACAAGTCCGGTTCTCACTGCAGCTGTCTCAAGACTGTCTCCAGCATGTGAGGACAGAGAAGCAAGATTTCATGAGAAAAGTGAAGCAGGCACAGGGAGGAATACCAGCAGCATCTGTAGAGAGTCAGTTGACTTTAACTGTGGAAACAGTGAATGTTGCAGGGCCTAAGTCCTCACAGCAATGGATTGTCATCAACTTCTACAAAGGAGGAACTATGAGTCCAAGGTTCAGAGATCTTTGCAGTGACAAAGCTCTTTCCTACGCCCCCTATGTGGGTCTGGCTGTTCCTCTGGGTCAGCAGTGTAAAGGTCATGTGTTTTGTTTCCTCCCGCTCCCCCTGGAGAGTCGCAGTCCCACAGGGCTGCAGGTTCATGTGAATGGTTTCTTTGCTTTGAATCAGAACAGGAGACACGTCAAGTGGCCAAAAGCAGATCAGCTTCAAAATCAGGCTCACACCGACAAGGCTATGGAGTGGAACAAGTGTCTTGTGAGTGAAGTTCTGCCTGAGGTGTATTATAGCATTGTAAATGCTCTTGTTCAATGTTGCAAGGTGCATACTAATTCAATTATCATCATTCAGCAAATCTACAGAATGATACCAGACATTGATGATGTTGATGTGAATTGGAAGCCCCTTGTTTCAACATTGCTGAAGCAGCTACACAATATACCTTTACTGTTCACACCGAGTCACCAGAGGATGGGGATCAAGATGAAGGACGCCTTTCTTGTGGATGTGGCCAATGACGCTTATTCGTTAATCGTTGAAATATTTACTCTGTACAAGAAATACATCGTCCCAGTACCTTCAAAACTCATGAAGACTTTAGAAAAACATTTCAGCTCCCACATTCACAAAGTGACACCTAAAGATGTCTGTGACACACTGAGATTGAGCAACAATTTTACAAGATTACCAAGACAGAAGAAACTCATGCTGTTGAAATATCTCCTGGAATCTGATCAGTACAAGCACCTGGAGGGTCTGTGTCTTCTTCCAGTGGCTGATGGCAACTTTGTGGCGTTCGGAGCACCTGCTGCTGTGTTCATCTGTGACCAGCCAGAGGATGTCAAACTCTTCCCAGGCCTGGAAAGTCAGTTGGTTTCACTGGACCTTCCTGAAGATTTACACCAAGCTCTGATGAAACGGGCAGGTGGCGGTAGGTTGCTTTTATCTTGATACAACCAATAACAGCCGTAGATATTTGCAGTTCTCCTGAAACAAAGATTCATGGAGCTTATATCCTGTCAGGGGCACGGGTGGCCCAGTCGTCTAAGGCGCCGCAATACGCTGTGCAGAGTTGCGTCCCTTAGGCACGCCAGAAACCTATGATTGTGGGTTCTAATCCTGGTTTTCCCCGATTATGTTTCTAGGTTTGTGGGTTTCACCGAAGTGGTAAAAGTCTGAGACCTGCATCACTTGGGGCTTTCCTCCCACATTAAGCTGACACGCCGTGATATGACTGGAATACTGTTAAAAGCGGTGTTAAACCCAACTCACTCACTATATCCTGTCATGTTTTCCTTTGTATACTTTAGGTTTTGGTTTTTCTGAATGGAGGCTGGTGTGTGTTTTTGCCACTTCGCATTATTTGATGTCCATTAATCCATCATTTCATCGCACATTAACTGTTTCATCATCTCGAATATAGCATGACATGTAGCATAATGGTACAACTATTTGTAAATCCCAATAATAAAACATTATTTGAAAAGAATAGGCGAACTCATAACACGACTAATGCATAGGACTACAATAGTGACCAGGATATAGATACATATTCATGAGGTCCAAGTCCAAATGATACATGGATACATGTTTCAAGTGGAAATTTTTTGGTCATTCCAGGAAAGGTAGGGGTGGGGCTACTGTCGTTTTTGCATGTAATGCAAAAGTCTTTCTACAGTAAAAACACCTATCAGTAAAAATAACCACATGAAAAAATGGCACCCTGAATCACATTGGTAGGCTATTTGACAGCTGACACATGTCCCCAGCTTGTAGACACTAATTAGCAGCTAACAAACAGTAGTTAAAAACATAACTGACAATGACATGAAGCATTTGAGCAATGCAAAGACTCATCATGGTGTATTAGTGACTGAAATGAAAGCTGATGAAATAAGGTCGTTTGTTAACTCAAGGAGCCCCAAGTAAGCCCTACACCTACATTTAGCAAACCTTACCATTGACATTTGGAATGAGGGACGCTCTTTTTGGCAATGTGCTAAACTTCGATTTGAATTTCGTACTGTAAACATTATTTCCTCAGAAATCACTGGATCAATGAAGCTGAAACGTTATCCTATACATAAACATAATGTGAACCCTTCTATTCAAATTTGGTACATGTGTTGTTGGTAGAGGGACTCAAAATGTATTTTCCATATTTCTCAACATTTTATGGGGTGACAAAAGATAGGATGGGAACCTGGAAGCAACAGCCTTGGTAATGTGCACCACATAAGCAGGTCAAGTAAACTGACAGCACATGTGAACGACCCATGAATACCAGACAGAGATGAATACCACAGATAAATCGACATCTAGGACGACAGTCTACCAGTGTCCACTATGTGCGAAGCAGTATTAATTTTGTCCGTGTCAGGGTTCAGGGGTCCAAACACAACGATTCGATTTAAAAGGCGAGTGCAAATGCATGTTTTAAGTATATATATTCTGTTATGCTTAACGTCCTCTAAATGTATGTGATAGTGTGATGTAGGATGCTTACAACCGATTACCTTTCTCTCGCAGGCCGAGGAGTACAGGGCATCTAAGAGACAATAGTCATATACAATTAATTAATTTATAGGTTAATTTTAATAAATGATAACATATAGATCAACTAAACTTCCATAACAATTTCTTCGTTTTAGTTTGATATATCTCGACCTTTACAATTTATATTTTTAGCAAAATATGTGCTATCTTGACAACAATGCGAAAATGTTATGAGCTCCTACAACAACCTATATATTTAGGATAGTATAAAAAATTGCAATGCACATATAGATCTATATCTTTAATTATTTTCAGAACTTTCATCATATTTTATTATATGATATTGACTATCTAAGGATCTAGATGTTACTAATTTTTATGAAAATATGACAAATATTATCTTGAGAAAAAATTGTGAACATGGAGGTTCGGTGAACAGTAAGCATTAGAAACTAAGATAAAAATGGATGTTTTTATTTGTCCGTTTTGACGGATAATTTGGCATTTAAAAAACAAACCTTCAGTCAATTCAACAAACATTTTGCCAAAATCAAAATTATCAAAATCATTATTTCTGAAAAGAAATAGTTCAGTAGATTTTCTTGAAATTGTGATTAAAACCCATGAAGATTATGGAAGACCTCAATAATATTTCCATGTAACCAAAAATGTCATGATATACGTAAGTGAAAATCTAAAAAAAAAGTATATTTCATATGATACAAATTTGCATAAATTTTAAACACACATAGTTCTTTAATCGGACCAATGTAACTAAGGACTTGCTTAATCCTCCACTTCATAAATTGATGCATAAATTTACAATTTTGCTGCTACTATACTTTGAAAGGACAATAGTTTAATCACGAAAACAAGACATTGGTAGCTTTCTTACACATTCTAAGTAATGACAACTCTTACCTTTAGTTCATAAAATGCTACGTAGGGGCTGCAATCTGTAAAAATCAAAACACAATGTCTTCAGATAGTGAATTACCTACGATTCTTAGTGTGCCATAGCCGACCGATGAACCCCTGCTCTGGCAATTAACACATCTCAGACCAGTGAAGACAATCAGAACAGACTGGTTATCCTACCTATATACATCTTTGGTTTGACCTTTGTACTTAAGCATGTGACCTATGAAAATCCGGGATAGAATAGGTCTTCAGCAACCCATGGTTGCCGTAATAAGCGACTACGTTTGTCGTAAGAGGCCACTAACGGGATCGGGTGGTCAGGCTTGCTGACTTGGTTTACACATGACATTGTATTCCAGTTGCATGGATCGATGCTCATTAAACAACAAACAAACAAACAAAACTAACGCAAGTTCCTTTCCCTCACAAAGAAGATGAAACTTGATCCCACCAATTGTTCAAGAGATTCAAATACAGTTTTCAATTTGGCAACCACAACAGCCATTTTTAAAAACCTATTTATTATTCAGTCGTTTTCACCTTTTGGTTGAGATACATTTTACGAGTTTTAGCTGACCTGAACTGAATTATGTCCGTCATGTTTCGGTTCCATTCCAACCTACCTAATGTGTAATGCCACCTAATAAGTTGTTTAGAAAATGAAATGGGATTTAGTTTTAAGGCAATATGTCGTTGAGCTATATGGATTTGTATGCCATATTTTAAATTTGGACCTTGATAACATAAAGTCCTCTCAAAATGCATTCTGTATGCTGTGCAGGAACTAGTCCAAGGAAGATTACATTTTGCAAACATTGCTAGTACTGATGACAACATTTATCCAAATTGTTCTGGTTCATTAGTTAATATTTTGATATATTATCTTATGTTCTGATCTTCCAGAAATTCCAGAAGAAATCTGTTTAACTACACTCAGCTTAGTGGCTGTATGACTACACTTATCTGATTTGACTGATTATAATGCTTTCCTTTTAGGATGGAAAGGCCTTTCCGTGATGTCATCTGCTGCCTTCCCTGGCCTGCTCCAGAAATGTCTGTTGAGGCATTTCCCAGAAGGTAAAGCTAAACTCCCTTCCCCATCCTTGGATGTCAGCTGGCTCAGGCAAGTGTGGATCTATATTACAGCCCATGGATTTGATGTTGAATCTGTGTTCAGTGGTTTTCTTATTGTGCCGGATATTGATGCCTCTGGAAGAGGAAGACTCCACAGCATCGATGACGTCTTCATTGCTCAGTCAGTGAGGCACTCTGAATCTTTACCTCCAAATGTAGGTGCAGCGCTGAAGAAACTAGGCATTGTCCATTTAAGGTATGTTCCTGACTTTGTGCTGAAAAATTCACATGTTCTTGGGACAATCATTCAGTACTCAAATCCAGTTGGTGTTGTAAGAGCATTAGAGAAAGTATACAGGAGGAAACTTATCACAGCTGTACAACTGTTCAACTCCGAATCCTACAAACAGGAAAGGTCTGCTTTGGTGGCCTACATGAGAACCTGCCAGCGCCAGTTGTCCAAGGGAAGTAAAGCAGTGTTGAGGAAGTTACAGCTATTTACTGCGACAGACAACAGTGATTGTTCAGTGGAAACCTTATGTACTCTGGCTCCTGATGAACAAATACCTGTACCCTACCCAGAGAGGTACATCCAGTGTTCATCTGCTGCAGTGAGACACCTGGCACTGACACTTGGTGCAACAGAAAGGCCATTTCTTGATGTCAGTCGACAAATCCTTCAAATGATGCTGCACAACAAAAGAAAATATACAGAAAGTCATACGGTAGATTTTATGGAGTTTCTCATGGAGAATCACCTTCATATTGTGAATAAGACCAGGCAAATTGCTTCAGAGGTACGGTTCCTTTCATCCAGTGGAGGGTCATCTGGACTGAGAGCTTGTGATCTGTTTAGCCAAGATGACCCATTCCTGAAAGACTTATTCCTGGGAGAAGACAAATTCCCAGCAGATAGGCACACACAAACAGACAGACTCAGAGAAGGATTACTTCTTCTTGGTCTGAAAACAGAGAAAGACATCTCAAAAAGGGATATTGTATCAACAGCAGAGACCATTAAAAAGCTATTTCAAACAAAAAGGGAATCAGAAGCAAAGTGTAAAGTGACAGCCTTGATTCTCTTCCTTAAAAATAATATTGAATGCCATGAGGACATTAAGACTGCATTACATGATATATCCTTTCTACCTGTTCTCAAGTGCCCCCCTTCCTGGCCTTTACCATGGAAAGGTGAAAAAGAAAAAAGAAAAATAGTGGCATGTCCAAAGGAATTGTATGATAAGAATCTCTCGAGTTTGGTAGCATGTTCTCAGCTAATTCTTGATCACCATGTTGACAGTAACTCAGGATTTGACATTGAACTCCTCTCCAGGCTTGGCGTTAACAGAAGGGAAGATGTTGATGTGAGTGTTGTAGCAAATCAACTGGTATATGTTTCTCAGGAAATGAATTCATTGACCAGTGATGAGAAATTCATTGAATTGGAGAGAATATGCAAAGACATATACAAATTCATGAACAAGATAGTTGAAAATGATCAGAAAAATCATGAACAGACTCTACAGTTTTTAAGAGAGAAAGACGCAGTGCTAACTGGAAAACAGATGATAAAACCCTGTCGGGTAGCTTTCAATCTTCCATGTGATTTATCTCCATTTCTGTATGAAGCTGACAAAAGTTTAAGTGTGTACAAATCATTTTTAGTGACCATTGGTGTGAGAGATAGCTTTGAAGTGAATGGAATACTGAATTGTATAGAAAAAATCACCAGAGAAGCAGATGCTAAAACTGTTTCTGAGGAAAGACTGACATGGTTAGGGCGAGCTACACTCTATCTTTCAGAACTGGTTACATCTGTGAGTTTACCAGAGGGCATTATCATTTCATTACCAGATGAATATAGAATAATGTCTCAAGTAGATTCACTTTGCCTAGATGATTGCAGATTTGTTTGTAAAAATGAAAAGATGCGATTTGTGCATCCGTGTATTCATCAGTCTGCAGCCAAATTGTTAGGTGTCAAAGGGAAGCGAGAAGTTGATCTGAAAGAAAACATTCAAAGCTTCTCACCATGTTTCTCTGAATTTGGAGCTGGTGAAGATCTTACAACGCGACTGAAAGGACTTCTTAGTGGATACCCATGTGATTCTTCAATCCTGAAAGAACTGCTACAGAATGCAGATGATGCTGAAGCAACAAAACTGATGTTTCTAAAGGATTTCAGACATCTGCCAACAGAAAAACTCCTCAATGATCGACTGAGCTCTGTTCAAGGCCCTGCACTCTGTGTTTATAACAATGCCTACTTTACAGAAGATGACCTTGAAGGTATTCAGAAATTAGGTGTAGGAAGTAAGAATGATGACCCTTTAAAGACTGGACAATATGGAGTTGGATTCAATGTTGTTTATCACCTGACTGATGTCCCCTCATTCATCACTGCAGGACCAGGAACGGACAAAACTATATGTTTCCTTGACCCACATGTGAAGTATGTACCTCATGCCACATCTGAAAAACCTGGAGTTCGAATATCACAGTTGAATGAATTGAGAGAGAAATATACAGACACATTTTCAGGTTATCTTGAAGATCGTGTTGTAATTGACATCTCAAAAGAAAATAAAGGGACACTTTTTCGATTTCCTTTAAGGACACGAGAAATGGCTGCTGAATCAAAGATAAAAGTCAAAGAAGTCAGTCCACAAGATGTTAGTGAACTTTTAGATGAATTCAGGGCTGACATGCCCGAATTTCTTCTATTTCTTCAACATGTGAAACAAATATCTATTGCCAGCATTACAGAAGATGGTAGACTTGATGTAGAATATTGTGTTGAAGCAACAATGAGTGAAAATGATATGTCTGTACATGATGGGTACATGTCTCATTTGAAAAATCAGACTCAAAAGATAAGAAATCCTTCCGTTGGTTTTGGTCTTGAAGATGTATCGCCTTTGGAAGTTGAGTTGTCTCTCAGTATCAAAGAATCTGAAGGTAGACGGCAACATTGGGTGGTATTTCTCCATTCTGGATTTTCTAAGGCAACACCTATTCCAGAAGCCCTCATATCAGCTTGGGAGGATGGAGAAATTCGTCTATTACCAAGAGGTGGTGTTGCCATGCTACTGTGTACTGAGGAGAAAAAGGAGGTAGAATTCCAAGGTAAAGCATTTTGTACCCTGCCTTTGCCGATCCACACTGGGTTGCCTGTTCATGTCAATGGCAACTTTGCCTTTGATCATGAATCAAGAAGAAACCTATGGTATGACAATAAGGACTACAGGTCATGTTGGAATGAACATGTTGTAAATGCCATCATAGTTCCTGCGTATATCGCAGCTATGCAGTCAATGAAGACAAGAACTGGATCGACCAAGGTCAAGTCACAAAACTGTGTTCATGAATATCTCGACTGCTTTTATAGCTTCTTTCCTGATAGAAGCCACACAAAAAGTCAACTATGGAATGATCTTGTTGTTTCATTTTACACAGATGTTGTGTCAAAAGAGAGAAAGCTTTTCGCTGTCGTAAAACCATCAGGAGGAATGTTTGCTGATTTCAAAAAAGAAGATAAAGAACATTTAAAATGCAAAGTTTTGTGGGTACCAGCTTCATGCAAGAAAGGTTTCCCTGGATATTTCAATAACCTTGAAATATATTTCCCTCAAAAGAAATCACAGAGTGATTCAACAAATGATTGGATCCAACAACTTCAACCACAGGAAGTCGCTTGCAGGCTTACCGAGATACTCAAAGACTTGCAGATGAAAGTTATATATTCTCCAGGCAGAATTCTGAAGATTATTGCTGACACATGCATGGAAAGTAAAATGAATTGTGTGACACCAAAATCTGTCATAGATTTTCTTAAATCTCACAGTTCTGTCTCTCAAGATAGATGTAGCCTTGGGTCAGTGGCTTTGCAGTTAGAACTCACAGTTTTGAAACATCTTAAATCACTTGAGTTGCTGACACGCTTCTGTCAGCTTCATGAAGATTTTTCTTCTGCGTTACAATCTTTACCCCTGGCAGTTACTGAATCTATGAAACTGTGCACGTTTGATGCATCAAACCCTTTTTTTGTCACAAGGTTTACAGATCTGCTTGCAGGAACACCTGATCTGCTACTGCACAAAGATATTGTTGGACTGTATGAAAACTATATAGAAACAACACCTGTTTTCAAGGAGCTTGACATTATTGCTTTTTCAAAGTTGATAGAACAAACACTTTCTAAGAATATATTTTGCACTGGAAGGCCTGTTCCTTGGCAAAACTCAGATTTTCCATCACAACATTGGATCCGAGACTTCTGGGAGTTCTTGTTCACACAGACGAACAATAGTACATCTCCTTTAGATCTGACATATGTAGAAGATTGGTCATTGTTTCCATCTACAAAAGACAATGGTGAAAATCTTATTCTCTACCCTATCAAAAAGAGTGGAAGTGTTATCGATAGTAAGTCAGTTTCCCCAAAGAAATTCGAAACAGCTTTACGTAACATGGATGTTCCACAACTTGACAGTTCTTTGTTTTGTGGCAGTGTTGATGCCACTAGAATCACTTCATCCATTGCAGCCAGCTTGACTATGCCAGTAACAGTATTGAAGTTGTTATCAAACTTTGATTTCAGCACTTGTCGGGATATCACTGCAGTAGACTGTCGAGCATTTTTACAATTCTTTAGTGAAAATGTTGACAAGATAAATGATGAAATAGGTGAACAAAGAACAAAACAGCTGCTTACACAGATTCCCATTTTCGAATCAATGTCTGAAGAACTGGTTGCTCTGCATACTCACCAGAGACACTTTGTAGTAAAGGATTACTCTACAGGGCCTAGTGATGGTGTCAGTGATTGGACCCGTGGTACAAGTATGGTATTACTTAAAGGATTTGATTCATGCACAGAACTTTACAGCTTCATGGGTATACATGTGCATACACAGGAGCAACTATATACAGATCTTATTCTTCCAAATTTTCAGTATCTGCCAACGTCTGTTCTTCCAGTACATTTGACGTATATACGTGATGAGCTGTTGAAAAAGTCTGCGGAATTTAGTGATGAGCAAAAACAACTCATTGAGAAGCTGAAAAGTGTAAAATTTATTGAAGCATCAAATGGAACACTCCAGTGCGCTAGTCAGTTCTACAGTCGGGATATTAAAGTTTTCACATTGATGTGTGACCAATCTGAATTTGCACCTCCACCCTATGATCAAGAGGTGTGGCAAATGTTTTTGAAATATGCAGGTTTACAAGACCATGTTACTTCTGAGCATTTTTTGGCATATGCTAAGCAAGTTGAAAAACTTGGGCGACAGAGAATGACTACAGATGTTGAAGAGAAGTCAAAGGCTTTGATGGCATGTCTCGGAATGATGCATGAAGAATATATTGAGGATGGATATGCACTTTCACAGATTAAGAGTATCAGATTCTTATTACCACACAGTATCACTGATGAATGCCTGGGAAAAGAATTGACAGTCATATACCCTCAGTTTGGTGAGGGAAAACATCTAGTTTCCTACTCAGAATCACTTGCCCCACATCACTGTCATTATGTCTGGACAAGCTGCCTGATGTTCCACCATGATGCAGATCCATCCTCATGGAGTTTTGCAAGGAGAAATTACAAAGAACTGCGGTCTTTATTTGGATTGCAAGACGGTCCTCACCCCAAAAAGGTTTTAAGTCATATCCAAAACATTTGCACTTCTCTTGCGAATATCCAAAATCAGAATTCTGAGGGAAAATTGTTGTCACTTGACAACACTGTTCGTCATGTCATGATGTCAATCTACAGACATTTACTCAATCCTCGTGTCCGCAATAAGATCAAGCATTGCCTGAAAGATCTTTCAATCATGTACGTTCCAACTGTACCGTGTATGGTTTCAGCTGATAAAATTGTTAAAAACATACACCCTGATGAACTTGTAAAAGGATACATGTATGCACTGCCAGATCAGTTTACACAATTCCTTGATGTATTCATTGACCTTGGTTCATCAAGGGATGTACATGCAAACCTGTATGCCTGTGTGCTGAAGACACTCTACTGCAAGACAGAAGGAAGACCATTGAATTCTAATGACCTAGGAAGTGTTAAAAAAGCAGTTGAGTCAATGTTTAATTGCCTAAAAAGGGAAAAGAAAACTGAAGAATGCACATTACAGGTGTCCTCTCTGTATCTTCCTGACAACAAGTTCCAGTTAACAGACTCTAGACACCTGGTGTTTAACAACAACACTTTACTGTCTGAAAGAGTGAGATCCCTTGATTTACAGTATTTTTTAGGATTCCAAACACTGAATTTATCCGAAATGAATATGGATCCTCTGGGTTTCTTAGCTATGCTACCAGAACGTTATCGACTGCAGACGTTGACATCTCTGGTTGAAGAAAATGTTGATCAAGGCAGTAAGCTAAGAGCATATGCAGGTGATTCAGTCAAGAAATACAAGACTAGTGTACAGGGGTCTGAATTTGTTGAAGCAATTGTGAGACTTGTCAATCATGAAAAATACCAGCAAAATGAACAAAGTCTGGAACCATTTGAAGCAAAGAGCATTGAGGAAAGCCTTGCACATTTAAAAATTCTTCAGGTCAAAAACTTGCAGACTGAACTTAGACGGAATGGAAATCTGGTGCATCAGAGTAAGGGAAAAAAGAGGTTTTGTTTGGAAAGTGAAAAAGAAGGCTCTATTTCGAAAACATGTCTATACATCAACTGCGAGATACACCAGGTGACATTACTTGTTGCTTTAGAAACAATGATTGATGAACTGACCTTATTCAAACTGGGAAGGTCGATTCGTTATGTGCATCACATTTTTAACTCAGTTCCAGAAATGATCAGAAGTCATTTAGATGACTTTGAAATTAGGACATATAATTATTTTGCAGGACAAAGAGAGCAAACAATTGTTTCTTCAACTGGGGCGTTTATACCAGAAGAAATGCACTGGCTTCTGGACAACAGTTTTGATGTGTTTAATGAAGGGGAATATGTTGGACTGGAGGTTTACGATCCCATCACTGACCCTGGTGTACAAGATGAAGTTCCTGAAAATGCCAACCCAGTTTATATCTATGCTGTTGTGAAGAAAGTACTGAGGAAGGAGGTCTTGCCAATCAGAAGAATGTATCTGGTTGAAGTTGGGGAAGGTCGATTAGAGGAAATGTCTGGACTAAAGCTTTACAACGTTTTGAGGAAAAACGTAAATCAGTGTGGAGACTCCGCATCACATACTGATCAAAGGTGTGAGGAAAATAGACACAGTCTTACACCCTTGTGGAGGAACTGTTCAGATGAGAAGGAGAGAAACACAGTGAAGAAAAGACTTTACTTGGCCCAGCACCCTGACAGGAATCCTGATAGGGAAGCTTTCTTTACCAAAATATGTTCGGACATTAAGAGAACTGCGATGGAACTTGAAAATGAGCATGCTGGGGCAACATATCCGTTCTTCTTTGAACATTTGGACAAGAGAAGTTCTGAACAACAGACCCGTTTTCAGAACTATGAACGTAGACGTCCAGATCAGGATCCATCAAAAACTAACCCACAACCACATGAGGCAAAACGATGGCTGAGACAGGCAATTGATGACTTGGCTGCAGCAAAGGATATTTTTCCTCCCTGTAGAGGTTTTAATTGGATCTGTAACAAGACTCATCAGGTATGCTTTATGAAAAACACCATTCCTAATAACCACAATGAATTCCAGCTAAACAAATAAAAGTGACAAAAACATTTCCATAATCATAAGAAATCTCTACTGAAAGCATTGTCTATGTGATTATATCAGGTGTTCGCGAAAAGGTGAGCATATCCTGCCTCAAATGTTTTAAACCCGTTCCTAACGTTCCCCTGCTAAACCCAGCATGAGGTGCGGTGACATGGGGTTTAAAGTTCTGTTCAGGACTCTTTAACTTGTATCGTGACATGCACGCACATATGTGTGTATCCATCCCTATTCCATGTACTCCTCCCACCAATATCCCCACAATGTACTCCTCCCTCCTACCCCCTGTACTCCTCCCTCCTACACCATGTACTCCTCCCTCCTACACCCTGTACTCCTCCCTCCTACACCCTGTACTCCTCTGTACTCCTCCCTCCTACACCCTGTACTCCTCCCTCCTACACCATGTACTCCTCCCTCCTACACCCTGTACTCCTCCCTCCTACACCATGTACTCCTCCACTCCTACACCATGTACTCCTCCACTCCTATACCATGTACTCCTCCACTCCTACACCATGTACTCCTCCACTCCTACACCATGTACTCCTCCACTCCTAAACCATGTACTCCTCCCTCCTACACCATGTACTCCTCCCTCCTACACCCTGTATTCCTCCCTCCTACACCATGTACTCCTCCCTCATACACCCTGTATTCCTCCCTCCTACACCATGTACTCCTCCCTCCTACACCCTGTATTCCTCCCTCCTACACCATGTACTTCTCCCTCCTACACCCTGTATTCCTCCCTCCTACACCCTGTACTCCTCCCTCCTACACCCTGTGTTCCTCCCTCCTACACCATGTACTCCTCCACTCATACACCCTGTACTCCTCCAATCCTACACCATGTACTCCTCCCTCCTACACCATGTACTCATCCATCCTACACCATGTACTCATCCCTCCTACACCATGTACTCCTCACTCCTACACCATGTACTCCTCCAATCCTACACCATGTACTCCTCCCTCCTACACCATGTACTCCTCCCTCCTACACCATGTACTCATCCATCCTACACCATGTACTCCTCCCTCCTACACCCTGTACTCCTCCACTCCTACACCATGTACTCCTCTCTCCTATACCATGTACTCCTCCCTCCTACACCATGTACTCCTCCAACCCTACACCATGTACTCATCCCTCCTAGACCATGTACTCCTCCAATCCTACACAATGTACTCCTCCCTCCTACACCATGTACTCCTCCAATCCTACACCATGTACTCCTCCCTCCTACACCATGTACTCATCCCTCCTACACCATGTACTCCTCCCTCCTACACCATGTACTCCTTCCTCCTACACCATGTACTCCTCCCTCCTACACCATGTACTCCTCCCTCCTACACCATGTACTCATCCCTCCTACACCATGTACTCCTCCCTCCTAGACCATGTACTCCTCCAATCCTACACCATGTACTCCTCCCTCCTACACCATGTACTCCTCCAATCCTACACCATGTACTCCTCCCTCCTACACCATGTACTCATCCCTCCTACACCATGTACTCCTCCACTCCTACACCATGTAATCCTCCCTCCTACACCATGTACTCCTCCAATCCTACACCATGTACTCCTCCCTCCTACACCATGTACTCATCCCTCCTACACCAAGTCCTACTCCCTCCTACACCATGTACTCACCCTCCTACACCATGTACTCATCTCTCCTACACCATGTACTCCTCCAATCCTACACAATGTACTCCTCCATCCTACACCATGTACTCCTCCATCCTACATCATGTACTCATCCACTCCTACACCATGTACTCCTCCAATCCTACACCATGTACTCCTCCAATCCTACACCATGTACTCCTCCACTCCTACACCATGTACTCCTCCAATCCTACACCATGTACTTTTCCACTCCTACACCATGTACTCCTCCCTCCTACACCATGTACTCCTCCACTCCTACACCATGTACTCCTCCCTCCTCGAAATGTACTCCTCCACTCCTACACCATGTACTCCTCTACTCCTACACCATGTACTCCTCCACTCCTACACCCTGTACTCCTCCACTCCTACACCATGTACTCCTCCACTCCTACACCATGTACTCCTCCACTCCTACACCATGTACTCCTCCACTCCTACACCATGTACTCCTCCACTCCTACACAATGTACTCCTCCCTCCTACACCATGTACTCCTCCCTCCTACACCATGTACTCCTCCCTCCTACACCATGTACTCCTCCCTCCTACACCATGTACTCCTCCACTCCTATACCATGTACTCCTCCACTCCTACACCATGTACTCCTCCACTCCTACACCATGTACTCCTCCACTCCTAAACCATGTACTCCTCCCTCCTACACCATGTACTCCTCCCTCCTACACCCTGTATTCCTCCCTCCTACACCATGTCCTCCTCCCTCATACACCCTGTATTCCTCCCTCCTACACCATGTACTCCTCCCTCCTACACCCTGTATTCCTCCCTCCTACACCATGTACTTCTCCCTCCTACACCCTGTATTCCTCCCTCCTACACCCTGTACTCCTCCCTCCTACACCCTGTGTTCCTCCCTCCTACACCATGTACTCCTCCACTCCTACACCCTGTACTCCTCCAATCCTACACCATGTAATCCTCCCTCCTACACCATGTACTCATCCATCCTACACCATGTACTCATCCCTCCTACACCATGTACTCCTCCCTCCTAGACCATGTACTCCTCCAATCCTACACCATGTACTCCTCCCTCCTACACCATGTACTCCTCCAATCCTACACCATGTACTCCTCCCTCCTACACCATGTACTCATCCCTCCTACACCATGTACTCCTCCACTCCTACACCATGTAATCCACCCTCCTACACCATGTACTCCTCCAATCCTACACCATGTACTCCTCCCTCCTACACCATGTACTCATCCCTCCTACACCATGTCCTCCTCCCTCCTACACCATGTACTCACCCTCCTACACCATGTACTCATCTCTCCTACACCATGTACTCCTCCAATCCTACACAATGTACTCCTCCACTCCTACACCATGTACTCCTCCATCCTACACCATGTACTCATCCACTCCTACACCATGTACTCCTCCAATCCTACACCATGTACTCCTCCAATCCTACACCATGTACTCCTCCACTCCTACACCATGTACTCCTCCAATCCTACACCATGTACTTTTCCACTCCTACACCATGTACTCCTCCCTCCTACACCATGTACTCCTCCACTCCTACACCATGTACTCATCCCTCCTACACCATGTACTCCTCCAATCCTACACCATGTACTCCTCCACTCCTACACCATGTACTCCTCCACTCCTACACCATGTACTCCTCCAATCCTACACAATGTACTCCTCCATCCTACACCATGTACTCATCCACTCCTACACCATGTACTCCTCCAATCCTACACCATGTACTCCTCCAATCCTACACCATGTACTCCTCCACTCCTTCACCATGTACTCCTCTACTCCTACACAATGTACTCTTCCAATCCTACACCATGTACTCCTCCAATCCTACACCATGTACTCATCCACTCCTACACCATGTACTGATCCCTCCTACACAATGTACCCCTCCCTCGTACACTAATTACCCCTCCCTCCTACACTATGTACTCCTCCACTCCTACACCATGTACTCCTCCACTCCTACACAATGTACTCCTCCCTCCTACACCATGTACTACTTCCCGTCATACCATCATTTATCATGCCTCCCACCATTACGCATAATTCACCTCTGATCCTTCTACAATCAATGTATTAGACTATATATTGCTGTCTGCGCATCATTATATACTTGTCACCATGCTCCTCTCCATTCTGCTATTGATCCTAACAATGTTCAAGTATATGTATGTATGTCCGTGTTTGTGGTTCCCAGGCTGCTGAGAAGGCGGTCCTAGCAGTATGGTACAGCAGAAGCTCAACCACAGCAGACACACTAAGAAGCAGCAATGCACTGACAGAAATCACTTCAGGATTGGACAATTCACAGTTGTTGGATTTGGCAACTCAGCTTCAATCTTTAGTTGGCGACTACAGCAGAATGTGCTACCCAGACAGGTTGTCCTTTCCAAGTATTCCTGCTGCTGTATACACAGAGAGTCACGCAAGGCAGGCATGTGTACTTGCAGAGAGTATTCTGGAATTGGTGAAGGAGTTGTTTGATGTATCAGGCGACACCCCTTTGCGTTTTTAGGATGTCAAGAACATTGATGCAGGTGTCAGGTGTCAGGTACACTGTACGTCTGTGTACTTTATATTGAACTTACTTATAAAGTAATAACATGTGCCTACACCATTAGGGTGAGTTTTCCCGTGATTCAGTAGAGTTGTTTTTCCATGTCACACACATGTATATGCACATACCGATTTTAACGATTCAGTACAGATAAAACATGTTAGGAATATTTTAAACAGTCCCAGTTTTTTGGGTTTTTTTGTATTATTATGTCATACAAATGAGCTTGTAAAAATGTTGCGTCATTTTAGGCCAAACCAGAATACCAGAAAAATAACAGTTTTTTGCCCAAACTGACAGCGACATATGCATACCTTCAAGACTGAAACTAACTGCAATCTTGTGTGTAGATTTCATAAATTTTACCAGATAAAACATATTTCAACATAATTATGAAACTGTCATCATGTGTACGGTTTTCATCTTTTGAACTAGATTAATACTATTGTATGTAATAAGTATTTAAATTAATGAAACCTTAACATTTGCATACTTTTTGCGAGTGGAAATTAATGAAACAAATGTCATGTGTGTATGTTTCATGAGTTGGACTGTATTTATGTACATAGTATTTTGCTATAACTTGTTTTTAAATTTCAAGAAAGGAACTGTAGATCAATCTTTATTGTATGTGTATATTCCACAAATTGATCTGGATGAATTGATTATATTTACATCAACTCAAAGCTACATGTACATACTATGAGCGGATCTTAGGTGTATGTATTTCATGTTTCAGCATACTGAAAGCTACATGTACATACTATGAGGGGATCTTAGGTGTATGTATTTCATGTTTCAGCATACTGAAAGCTACATGTACATACTATGAGGGGATCTTAGGTGTATGTATTTCATGTTTCAACATACTGAAAGCTACATGTACATACTATGAGGGGATCTTAGGTGTATGTATTTCATGTTTCAACATACTGAAAGCTACATGTACATACTATGAGGGGATCTTAGGTGTATGTATTTCATGTTTCAACATACTGAAAGCTACATGTACATACTATGAGGGGATCTTAGGTGTATGTATTTCATGTTTCAACATACTGAAAGCTACATGTACATACTATGAGGGGATCTTAGGTGTATGTATTTCATGTTTCAACATACTGAAAGCTACATGTACATACTATGAGCGGATCTTAGGTGTATGTATTTCATGTTTCAGCATACTGAAAGCTACATGTACATACTATGAGGGGATCTTAGGTGTATGTATTTCATGTTTCAACATACTGAAAGCTACATGTACATACTATGAGCGGATCTTAGGTGTATGTATTTCATGTTTCAACATACTGAAAGCTACATGTACATACTATGAGCGGATCTTAGGTGTATGTATTTCATGTTTCAACATACTGAAAGCTACATGTACATACTATGAGGGGATCTTAGGTGTATGTATTTCATGTTTCAACATACTGAAAGCTACATGTACATACTATGAGGGGATCTTAGGTGTATGTATTTCATGTTTCAACATACTGAAAGCTACATGTACATACTATGAGGGGATCTTAGGTGTATGTTTTTTCATGTTTCAACATACTGAAAGCTACATGTACATACTATGAGGGGATCTTAGGTGTATGTATTTCATGTTTCAACATACTGAAAGCTACATGTACATACTATGAGGGGATCTTAGGTGTATGTATTTCATGTTTCAACATACTGAAAGCTACATGTACATACTATGAGGGGATCTTAGGTGTATGTATTTCATGTTTCAACATACTGAAAGCTACATGTACATACAATGAGGGGATCTTAGGTGTATGTATTTCATGTTTCAACATACTGAAAGCTACATGTACATACTATGAGGGGATCTTAGGTGTATGTATTTCATGTTTCAGCATACTGAAAGCTACATGTACATACTATGAGGGGATCTTAGGTGTATGTATTTCATGTTTCAACATACTGAAAGCTACATGTACATACTATGAGCGGATCTTAGGTGTATGTATTTCATGTTTCAACATACTGAAAGCTACATGTACATACTATGAGGGGATCTTAGGTGTATGTATTTCATGTTTCAACATACTGAAAGCTACATGTACATACTATGAGCGGATCTTAGGTGTATGTATTTCATGTTTCAGCATACTGAAAGCTACATGTACATACTATGAGCGGATCTTAGGTGTATGTATTTCATGTTTCAACATACTGAAAGCTACATGTACATACTATGAGCGGATCTTAGGTGTATGTATTTCATGTTTCAGCATACTGAAAGCTACATGTACATACTATGAGGGGATCTTAGGTGTATGTATTTCATGTTTCAACATACTGAAAGCCTTCACATTTGCACGCGTTTCACTATTAGAAATATGAGTCAACCTCTATTGTATGTGTATATTACATTAATTGAACTGGATGAATTGCAAACATTTACATAATACTGAACTTAGTGATAGCTGCAGCATGTGCATACCTTGAGTAGAACTTAATTCAAATCTTTGTCAGACATATATATTTCGTGATTTGAAGTAAATTAATACTCTTCTATGTAATTAGTATTGAACTTACTGACAACCATAACATTTACTTACTTTTCACTACTGGACATTAATGAAACCTTTGTCATGTGTATATATTTCATAATTTGGACTGTTTCTATCCGGGGACTCAACCAAAAAAAAGTACTAGAATCTGTACTTTATTAAGAAAGTGTTATCCCAAATATAACATTTGTTACATTTGACCACTTTCTAAATGGCATTGTGTATTCTTAATATTCAACATACTCAATGCCATAACATGTTCATACATTTCAAGGAAGCAACTTATAATAAACCTTTTTTGTATGTGTATATTACAGAAATTGACCTGGATGAATTGCAAAACATTTACAAAACACTGAACTGAGTGATTATTAAGTTGCGATATGTGCAATCTTTGTCATGTGTATATATTTCATGATTTGGACTGTTTCTTCTCATTGTTTATCAGCTTAATATTCAACATACTCAATGCCATGACATGTTCATACATTTCAAGGAAGCAACTTATAATAAACCTTTTTTTGTTTTGTATATGGCATAAATTGAACTTGATAAATTCAAAACATTTACATAATACTGAACTTAGTGATAGCTGCAACATGTGCATACCTTGAGTGGAACTTAATTCTATCTTTGCCATGTGTATATATTTATTGATTTGGTCTGTTTCTATCCATTGTTTATCAATTTAATATTCAACATACTGAAAGCCATAACATGTTCATACATTTCAAGGAAGGAACTTATAATGAACCTTTTTTGTGTTGTATATTACATAAATTGAACTTGATAAATTCAAAACATTTACATAATACTGAACTTAGTGATAGTTGCGATATGTGCAATCTTTGCCATGTGTATATATTTCATGATTTGGACTGTTTCTATCCATTGTTTATCAATTTAATATTCAACATACTGAAAGCCATAACATGTTCATACATTTCAAGGAAGGAACTTATAATGAACCTTTTTTGTATGTGTATATTACATAAATTGAACTGTATGAATGCAAACATATACATAATACTGGACGCAGTGATAGTTGCGACATATGCAATCTTTGTCAGGTGTATATATTTTATGATTTGAAGTAAATTAATACTTTTCTATGTGATTAGTATTGAACTTACTGACAACCATAACATTTACTTACTTTTCACAACTGGACATTAATGAAACCTTTGTCATGTGTATATATTTCATAATTTGGACTGTTTTTATCCATTGTTTATCAATTTAACATTCAACATACTGAAGGCCACAACATGTTCATACATTTCAAGGAAGCAAATTATAATAAACCTTTTTTGCATTGTATATTGTATAAATTGAACTGGATGAATGCAAAACATTTACAAAAAAATGAACTTAGTGATAGCTGCTACATGTGCTTACTTTGAGTAGAACTTAATTCAATCTTTGTCAGGTGTCCATTTTTCATGATTTGAAGTAAATTAATACTCTTCTATGTAATTAGTATTGAATTTACTGACATCCATAACATTAAAATACTTATCACGACTGGACATTCATGAAACCTTTGTCTTGTGTATATATTTCATGATTTGGACTGCTTGTTGCCATTGTTTATCAACTTAATATTCAACATACTGAAAGCCATAACATGTTCATACATTTCAAGGAAGGAACTTATAATGAACCTTTTTTGTATGTGTATATTACATAAATTGAACTGGATGAATGCAAACATATACATAATACTGAACTCAGTGATAGTTGCGACATATGCAATCTTTGTCAGGTGTATATATTTCATGATTTGAAGTAAATTAATACTCTTCTATGTAATTAGTATTGAACTCACTGACAACCATAACATTTACTTACTTTTCACAACTGGACATTAATGAAACCTTTGTCATGTGTATATATTTCATAATTTGGACTGTTTCTATCCATTGTTTATCAAATTAACATTCAACATACTGAAGGCCACAACATGTTCATTAATTTCAAGGAAGCAACTTATAATGAACCTTTTTTGTATTGTATATTGTATAAATTGAACTTGATGAATGCAAAACATTTACAAAAAAATGAACTTAGTGATAGCTGCTACATGTGCTTACTTTGAGTAGATCTTAACATTTTTCATGATTTGAAGTAAATTAATACTCCTCCATGTAATTAGTATTGAACTTACTGACAACCACAACATGTACATACTTTTCACGACAGTAAATTAATGAAACCTTTGTTATGTGTATATATTTCATATCTAAACTGTATAAAGTACAAATGAACTTGATATTGAACTAACTGAAAGCTTTAATATTTGCATTATTTAACGACTGGAAATTAATTAAAGCTTTGTCATGTGTATATGTGTCATGATTTACACTGTATTTATACACATTATTTATCCACTTACTATTCCAAATAGAACTTTAAATAAGCCCAAATTGTATGTTTATAGTACATGATGTGAACTGAATGAAACAAACAAAACTTGACATACAGATTAACTTCCTGAAAGCCATAACGTGAATGCATTACACGAGTGGAAATTAATTAAACCCATGGCATGTGTACAGTATATATTTCATTATTTGATCTGTATTTGTGTACATTTGTATAAACTTAATATTCATTATACAGAAAGCCATGGCATGTTTCGGTCAAAAGTCAACCTTTATTGTATGTGTATTTTACATAAAGTGACCTGAATGAATTGCAAATATTTACATAAACCTGAACATAGTGAAAAGCTGCAACGTGTGCATACCTTGAATATAACTTAATATAATCATGATTTGAACTACATTAATACTATTATATTTAATTAACATCGAATTGAGGGAGTGTGGTTGTGTGTTATTTTGTTGTTTTAGGGTTTTAGCTTGGTGAGAGCACGGTCTCGAGCTTTTAGATGCGGCCTAGTGGGCCTGTTTCAATTAAGAAAATACCTAATGCTTTAAACGTTTTGTAGGTCGTTTAGTGGGTTTAGAAGTGTTGCCAGAGACATTTGGTTGTTACAGTTTATTGTTGATTTGAGGGTTGTTCTGTGTTGTTGTTAGTGTGTGCAGTGTAATAGTGCATGTTCAGGTGTTTCTATAAGGTTACAGTGGGGACATTTATCTGTTTGGTGTTTTCTGATTTTGCGTAGGTGAGAGTTTAGTTTAGTGTGTTCTGTCTGTAATTTGATTATTGCCCTGTCAAATTTTTTCATTTATGTAGGGGGGTTTTGAGTGGCTTTTGGAGCATCTATTTTAGTTAACAGATTTATTTCTGATATTAGTTTTGCCACTTTTGGAAGATTGTACTCTTAGTGATACTTTTAATCTTGGTTTCAGATATTGGCAGGTTGATGCTTATTTCTTCAAATTTTAGTGATGCTTTGGCTGCTTTGTTGGCGTGTTAGTTACCAAACACTCCGATGTGGGCAAGGATCCATACGAATTCTTTACCTAGATTGTGGAGTTTGTTTGAGCTTTTGAGTATCTGTTGAGTTAATCCAGGTCGATTTTTTGGTGTTTTTGTTTTCAGTGGCTTAGGTCTACTTAGTGAGTCAGTGAGGATTATTTTTTTTTTAATTTTGGGGTTATGTAGAGCTGTGGCCATCCCCATTATTTGGCCGTGAAAATTGATTGATTATTTGAGAGTCTGTAGCATTTTGTTTCTTTTGTGGGTTGGTATATATGGATGCCGAATCCTGTGTGTTTTGAGCACAGGTCAGAGGACCCGTCTGTTTAGATGTGACACCAATTGGGCCATTTTTCGTGTATGTATGATAGTGTGATAGCTTTAGCGGTATTAGGGTTGGTTTCTTTATTTAGTTTGAAGGAGATTGTTGTGTCTATATTGGGGATTTGTCATTTGGGTGTGAAAATGTTGTTTGGTTTTCTGTTTAGTCTTAAATCGTTTAGGTTGTGTATGTTTAAGTAGTTGATTGTGCGTTGAGAGATTAGTGTTAATCGTGGGTTTTTCCTGCTAGTATTTGGTGTTTTAGGCTTATATTGTTTTTAAGGATGTGTTGGATTGGGGTATTATGTTGGGTTGAGACCCAAAAATTTATTGTTAACTTTCTCGGTGTTAATTCAAGGGAATTTCGGCCGTTAGGGCCTGCAGTGAGGTAAGCGAGGTGCCTTGTTGTGTGCAAGTGATTATCTTAGTGTTGTGTTTAAGCTATTGTATATTCGGTATCCATAGTCTATTTTGGATCTAATTAATGATGTGTATAATGATAGTAGGGTCTCCTTGGACGCCCCCCAGTTGGAACCTGTCAGGCAGCGTAGTGTATTTCTGTCTTTACTGCATCTATTTAGTAGGTCTTTAATGTGAGCACCCCAGGTTAGATGTTCATCAAAGATTATAGTCCTAGAAATTTGGTCTGTTTTGTGAAATGTATAGGATTATTGTTTAGTTGTACTTTGGGGGGGTTTGCAAGCATGTTTTTGTGTTTGAAAACTCTCCCTGTGTTTTTTTCCGGTATGTAGTGAGAAGCCCTATTTATTTGCCAATAATTGTATTCTGTTTAATGGTTTCTGCAATAATTTTTGTGCCATATTTATGCTTCTAGTGCGGATCCAAAGGGCCCCGTCATCTGCATATTTAGATGTTTGAACTTTATTTGATATTCCCTCGAATATTTCGTTTATCATAATGTTGAAAAGAGTTGGGCTTAGAATGCTGACTTGGGTCGTGCCATTTTCTAGGGGACACTGGTCCGATAGCGTTTGGTTGATTCCGACGGTTGTTTTGCGATTTGTTAGGAAGTCTTAACTATAGAATATTATTCGGCCCTTGAGTCCTGCTTTTTGGAGTTTTTGTATTAGTCTGTTATGCCACACCATATCGAAAGCTTTAGAGAAATCTATAAATATGCCTACTGTATATTGTTTGTTCCATTGACCCGTTTTAATGTCTTGTTCTAATCGGGCGAGGTTGTCTGAGGTTGAGCAGCCTGGGGTGAATCCACTTTGGTCCTGGTTTATATTATCTTTTTGGTCTAAGTTGTGTTGGAGTCTATTTTTGACCATTGCTTCCATGATGTTACATAAATTTGGGGTTAGGGAGACTGGTCTGTAAGAATTTACCTCGCCTTCTGGTTTGTTCGGCTTTGGTATTGGGATGACCAAAGCCTCTTTCCTTGAAGTCAGACGCTGACCGTTTTGGTAGATGAGATTGTATAGTTTAAGAAGTGATTCCAGATATTTGTGGGTAGTTGTTTAATTATTTGGTATGAGGTTAGGTCCAGACCGAGGGCTGTTCCTTTTTCCGATTGTTTAAAACATGGTGTGTTACTCTGTTGGGTATGGTTGATTTATTTCTAAGTCGGGTAATTTGACATTTATTTTCATTTTTTAATTGTTTTTGGAATTCCTCAGAGAATTACTATTGCTACTAATGCCTGAGAAGTGATTTGCTAGTTTATTTGCTTTTTGTCTAGGGTTTGTTGAGTTATTCATGATTGATGTTTTTTTGTTCGTTAAATGCTTTGGATTGCATGTTTTTTACGCCATACTGTTTTTGCGTCTGTGTGATGGTTTATTTCTTTGCAGAATTTTCTCCAGGTTTTGGGGTGTTTTTTTATGTTTTGACGAGGTTTTGTACTTGGTGTTTTAGTTGATGTGCTAGCTTTAGATGTGTGTGGTCTCGTTTAGCTTTGTTAAATGCGCTTTTGCTTTTTTTTCTTGTCCCTTCAATTTCCTTATGTTGATAATGAAGGTCATGCAGAGGTTATAATCCTTATGTGTAATCCACTTGGAGGAAATGAGGAGACTGCTTGTAATGAATGCTTTGTCGGGAGATATGACCTTTCATTTTTTTTAATTCTCACAAGTACAGGATCAATTTGATAATTAAATCTAACTTCGACTGGCTTATTCATTGCACAAATAAACGTGCATGGTACACGGTGCATAATTTGCCTGATGACTGATGTGGGCATCTATCACATCTATCTATTTCAACATTTCATTTCAAAGTTTTGAATGTGTCATCAGTCTTGAAAAATGAAATGATATTATTTTTCTTATATATATATATCAACATAATTCTAAACTTAATAATTCAAAATTAATCTCATCAAACATCAAATCACATATGTATTTTTAACTGTTACAGTGTGACAAAGGCCGTCAGTCTGGAAAACTTAATGAGATTTTTTAGTTCTAATATCAACCAGCTGATTCTTAACAGTAACTAAATAATTTGAAATCAATAGTGAATAATGATCAAATAAAATGTATGCATCTTGTCTCGACAGTGTGTACGTGGATGTGTGTTAGCGCTTGTATATGCTTGCTACAAAAGTCCAAAATAGTCTCAAATTCTCTCCATTTCTTGGGCCTATTTGACAAAAGGCACACGTAGTAAACTGACAATGTGATAATGTTACTTACTTGACAAACGGTATTCGATGTGGTTTTTAAGTAGTAAATAATACTGCATGCATGTATGACTAATCACTCGTGGTTTATATTGAATAACCTATAAATAAAGGCAATGGTTTGGAATACCATATAGATGTGATTTGAACACATCCACGTCTCGTACAAAACCTTGATACTGTTCAATTTTAGTCACAACAATGTGAATGTTCTACATACATTTCACACTTAGTTATCAGTACTGGATTTGGTTAATAGCTCTATATAATCTTAAGTAGATTACTCTTGATCCTTGCTAAACATACTCTATTTGTGTAGTTTCTATTTTTATGATTTGTAACAGAACAGTTGATAGTGTTAAAAAGAAAAGACTTGTGCATTTAGTTCATGTTGATGATTACTAGACAGTGAATATGATAACTGGTACTAAATATGATAACTGTATTGAATATGATGACAGTACCGAATATAACAGTACTGAATATGATAACAGTACTGAATATGATAACAGTACTGAATATGATAACTGTACTGAATATGATAACAGTACTGAATATGATAACAGTACTGAATATGATAACAGTACTGAATATGATAACAGTACTGAATATGATAACAGTACTGAATATGATAACTGTACTGAATATGATAACAGTACTGAATATGATTCTGTTTACCGCAAAAGATAACGATGACTGAATATTATTACCACAACTGAATAGTCCCACGTAAGATTCGGGTTAGAATTGGCCTTCAACATCCCATGCTTGTCATGGGCGACTAACAGGATCAGGTGGTCAGGCTTAGTGACTTGTACAGAATTATTGTCGTGATGTCGATCACTGGATTGTCTGGTCCAGACTCGATTATTTACCGGCCAACGTCATTAAGCTGGAGTATTGCGGAGTGCCACGTTAAACAACATACAAACTACTACTACTACTACTACCACTACTACTACTACTATTGTTGTAATGAACCTGATCACTGTTTTTGTTTGTTGTTTAACCTCGACACTTGGCAATATTCCAGCTATACGATGGCGGGGAAATGATTACTAGTACTGATCATGAATATAATGACTTGTACTGAATATGTATGTGCTTCTGCTTTTTGTCCCATTACCCAATCATTTATTAAAATATTCTAACTTTGTAAAAGTCGTTGTTTTATATCTCAACAGCAGTAATGTTATGAATATACAACATGAGTGAGTAAGTTACTCTTGGGCACGCCAGAAACCTAGGATTGTGGGTTCGAATCCTGGTTCGCCCCGATTATGATTCTAGGTTTGTCAGCACCATACCCGTGCTCGTGGGTTTCACCGAAGTGGTAAACGTCTAAGACCAGCATCACTTCGGGCTTTCCTCCCACATTAAGCTGACACGCCACGACATAACTGGAATATTGTTAAAAGCGGCGTTAAGCCCAACTCACTCTTGTCCTTGTGCACCCAAAGAATACGTCTTCATGGTTTTATTCTAAAAAGATAATTTCATTAAAAAATTAAAAACATAATACGATAAAATTTGCATAATATACAACTGCTGATTGGTATCTTAGACATATTATCTTCGAAAATCTTTAAAATTACTTCTTTTTTTCAAACATAGTAGTTGCCATGTGGTTTTAAATTCATTGCTTATTTATTTTTACACAAAATTACCAAGCCACAGATTACTTTTTACAGGCTGATGCAGGAATGACTGATGGTTAAATCGACACGGGAATCGATTTTAACAGCAGTTCTTTCAATTTTCAATTCCATAAAAAAGCTCGGTATATTTTCTTTTGCTCCACTGTTTGGTTACTTGGCAATTATATTTCCCTTCTGTCAAACAAATCTGTAAACTAGGCAAGAATATACGGACTGTCACGTAAATTATCAGCCTTAATGGGGTGGCTTATAAAGATTACGTATACCTAGTAGACACACTGACATAGAAGATGGTCAGGGCGCACTTGTAGGTGCATACAACGGACACGTTATGAATGAAACACAGGGAAACAAGGGAGATCACCCTGAAATCCTTGTCTACACGTATTACTTTGTGAAGTAGTCGTAATATATCAGAGGTTCGGACACCCCGCACTGGAAGCAAAATAAACTCTTTTACTTTTGGTGTGGTGTTTACATGCGATTGACGATGGAATGCTACAAGATACAGTTAACCTATAGCTTCGTACATTGGAATAAATACATTTTTCGTACATATGTCTTATTTGAGGCAAATAAATTCATTAATAATGTTTACCGAGCCTGTTATAAGCGCTAGCCTTTAATCGCACAATCAACTGCTTTTGGCAGATATTTCTTAAGAATGTAAAAAGGGTTTTGTCGCTTTTATTTAATAAACTCCAAATCACGTTTGAAATAACTGATTTCACCCTGGTATGAACAGAAGAACTAGCAATAGCTTCCGTGGTATCGTTCTTTTTTAAACTCATTGAAATGATGGCGCGCTTGTCAGGACTTCCCCCAGAGAGGAATCGTACGGAGTAAACGATCTGATTTTAATGAGATTGCGTGTTCTCGGCGCTCTCCAGGCGCTCTTTCGATGATACGCCGTACGAAGGTTACCTGAAGCCACGGACCTATACAAGTCCGTGCTGAAGCGCACAACAATTCACTGTTAAACCGCGCGTAGCACGTCTAGTTAACAGGTTCAAAGATAGCTATGTAAAAAACCCATTCCGTTCCATTTGCAGAACGCAAATTATTGTCAACTAACGTGTCATAAGTTCATAACAAATGCTACATGGTATGGTCGTGGGTGTTCTACGAAATAGAAAAGGCAGTGAGTAGAGGTACCCATGTCAGCTGTTTGTTATTTTATAAATATAAAATTGCTAAAAATCGGTGACAGTCATCATCATTTTCATCATTTATGAAAGGACGTTCGATTTCAAGATAGCTTAACATTACCGTTATCATGACCTAGTCTTTATCAGATCCAATTAAGAAGATACGCAGAAGTATTGAGGAGTGACAGAAACGTTTACTATTAAGCAATATTTGTACAGATAATCGGGAAATGGTATGCCATGTGCTTATACAATGTCCGAATATAACAGAAGGATTTAATCGGGATTCGACAAATTATAAAGACAAAAGATGTGTCCAAACTAGCCTAAAACGGGCTTTGGGCAATCTCCATAACATCAGATATTTTGCACCCATATCCTACCTCTCTGCCTGGAGATCTGACAAATCCTCCATAGAAGATCGGGTGGGGTGAATTTTTTCAACTGCCATGCATTCAGCGTCGAAGTTTCTATATTGTCGGAACGGACGGAAGAAGCATTCAGAGTAGCACATATATATATTTCTGTAATTCGAAAACAATTAGAATTTATCTTCAGCAAGCCATACTTGTCTTAAGATCCTACTAACGGGATCGGATGGTCAGGCTCGGTGACTTGGTAGATGCAAGCCATCGTATCTCAATTACGTAGATTGATGTTCATGATGTCAATCACTGGATTATCGGGTCCAGAGTCGATTATTTACAAACCGCCGTCATAATTTTAGTTGGAATATTGCTCAGTGCGGCGTTAAACAACAAACAAAAACAAACTCGATAGCGAACGTATACGGGCAGTTCCAGGTGGAAATAAAAGTTTTTAGATTTGTCTTCATACAGAGGGGTACCTATTCTGATTAGACTAATTATTTAGCAACAAACAAATTGGAAAAATGTACAAGTTTGTTTGCAAGAAAATAAGACCGTATTATAGCACGAATACACGTTGTCGGTTAGTAATAAAAGAAATTATGTGCACATGCGATAGAGAATATCCCAAGGCAATCTCACAGTCAGTGAACGGGCATGATGTTACACCAAAGTCCGGCTTTATCCTGGCAGGCAGATGGAATAGAACATCGAGAATGGACTTCACATTTTGTATACCCATGCGGGGAATCGAACCTTGGTCCGAGACGACCTGAAGTTTTAACCAGAGGACAAACGCATATGCGTGTACTATTTAATCCCTATTCTTAGATATTAGTAATTCATGTTATGATATCGATAAAATAATCCAACCCATGCTCGCCGTAAAAGGCGACTATGCTTGTCGTAAAAGGCGACTAACGGGATCGGGTGGTCAGGCTCGCTGACTTGGTTGATGCATGTCATCGTATCTCAATTGCGTAGATCGATGCTCATGATATCAAACACTGGATTTTCTGGTCCAGACTCGATTATTTACAGACCGCCGTCATATAGCTGGAATATTGCTGAGTGTGGCGTTAAACAACAAACCAACCAACCAACCGACAAAATAATCATTGATATCACACAAAAATTGAAAATATCATTGAATAGTTACGAAATTGTGTTTTCTGAAACCCATTAATGATATATGAAAGAAGAATTACTGTTGTCAATAAATATGTGATATTACAAGTTTTAGTTTAAGATATTGCTAATGAGAATTCTTGATATCAATAAATGAATTTTTGATATCACATTATTATAGAATAATAAAACGGCGCCTCGTAGAATTTTTAAGGCATCCGACTCCAATGTGGGCATCTTGACTCCAAGGCACCTGTGAAGATCCGGGTTAGAATAGGTCTTCAGCAACCCATGCTTGCCGTAAAAGGCGACTATGCGTGTCGTAAAAGGCGACTAACGGGATCGGGTGGTCAGGCTCGCTGACTTGGTTCATGAATGTCATCGATCCCAATTGCGTGGATCGATGCTCATGATGTCAATCACTGGATTGTCTGGTCCAGACTCGATTATTTACAGACCGCCGTCATATAGCTGGAATACTGCTTAGTGCGGCGTAAAACAACAAACAAACTCCAAGGCGGGCATTTAGGATTAGAATTGGACCCCAGAACCTATGCTAGTCTAAATCGAAATTATTCCGATGGTCAGGCTCGGTGACTTGGTTAACTGTCTGTCATCGTACCCACGATGCTCACAGTATCAATCACTGGTTTAGACCCATAAAGATCCGGGGAAGAATAGGTCTTCAGCAACCCGTAACAGGCGACTATGCTTGTCGTAAGAGGCGACTAACGGATCGGGTGGTCAGGCTCGCTGACTTGCATGGTTTGTCGCAGACTGGAAGAGTTGACAGGCCGCCGTCATACATGTGGAATATTGCTTGATGCGGGTTAAACAACAACCTAGCAAACAAACGAAGACGGTGACGAGTGAAGGTAAAATCTATAATACAGGTTCTGCATGATTGATGCCTGTTCACTTCAGCAGAGGTGACACGACATTGACAGAGTCGTGTGCCAGCTGGAAAGATACATTTATAAGTCACATGTCAGTGTAACCGTGGTCTTCGTTAGACCCCGTAGGCTCTCTGGAGCAGGAAAGGCATCCATTGCCCCATGCTTGTCGTAAACGTTGACCCTAATGGAGATCAAGTGGTCAACTAATATACCCGTGAAGATCCGGGGTGGAATAGGTCTTCAGCAATCCATGCTTGCGGTAAAAGGTGACTATGCTTGTCGTAAAAGGCGACGAACGGGATCGGGGGGTCATGCTCGCTGACTTGGTTGATGCATGTCATCGGTCCCAATTGCGTGAATCGATGTTCTTGGTGTCAATCACTGGATTGTCTGGTCCAGACTCGATTATTTTCAGACAGCCGTCATATAGCTGGAACATTGCCGTGTGCGGCGTCAAACAACAAACAAACAAACAAACTTATGTTATATATTGTCCTGCTTCGTTTTTTTCCAAATCGAACAAATTAGGAAGGTAAATTTAGAAGAAAAACATTTCATTGACATATTGAAAATATTTAGGCTGACTGTATGAATGAGGGTTATTTCCCTTTGTCTAATATATGACACTAAATATGAACAGGCTCGCTTTGACTAGCATTTGATGTGATCACCCATGACGGTGTGGGTTTCTATATGTACATAGTATATGATGTATACATGCTGATAGGATGTCAAAAGATGAATATGAAGACTAGGTACTTGAATGAGGGTACGTCTTGTGAATATAACATAATTTAATATCTGATCGTTTGTTAAACAAATAAAAATGGACTACAAGGTTTTCATTTCTCCATGTCATAATACTTCTTTTTGTCTTTATAGCGCACAAACACAATAAATAAAGTAGCAATTGATTTCTATTTAAACGGACATTTTCTACCCGCTGCTGTTAAACTGT